ACCGGGCCAGTTGCCCAGGCCAGCCCGGCTCTGGCGCAGAACCTGGCCGACGCCCTGCCGCTCCTGTGGGCGGCCGAGCCCGCGTCCCGGCCCCCCGTGGCCACCCTGCGGCACACGGTGGCCACCCTGGCCGCCATGCTCCCCGCCAGCCAGTAGCCCCACCTCACCCTGAGTGTGTGCCGGCTGCCGCCCTCGAACCCGCGCCTGCAACCGGGCGGGGGAGGTCTCCCTTTCCCCTTGTGTCTGCCCCGACCGGCCCTGCGCGCGGTGCCCACCGGCCCCTTTTGGCGCGGGCCAGAGAGGGCAAGAGCAAGCCGCCCCTCTCGCGCACAATACACACCCCCTGCGCCCCTGAAAGCACGCCCACGCCCGCGGGCGGTCCACCAGCACACGACTGCTTGCCACGCCCCGTTGGCGCATGCGTCCGCCCCGCTCGACCCGGGCCGGGCGGCACCGCGGGTCCTGGCCACGGCCGCCACTTGCAGGGGCCCCGCCCCCATCCCACGAATGTTTTTCGATTGCCACGACCAAACGGGGATTCTTTATTTCCTTTTTTTTTTTTGCGCCGGCCACGAGTGGCGAAGCCACCGTACCGGGCCGGGCCAGCTCCCGCGCATGCCCCACGCCACCGCGGAGCCGATGCCGCCCCGCACCTCCGACACAGGTGACAGGGGCCGCCGCCGCGCTCGGCCTCGCGACCAGCCACAGCGCCCCCCTGCACCCCCAGGCCAGGGCCCGGCGGGCGCCTCGGCGGCCGGTGATCAGCGGGACCGCCCACTCCAGGAAGGGGCCCGCCCGTACGCACCCGTGCGCAGCGGTCCCCCCGGGCGCGCTGGACCGGCTTCTCCCCTCGCCCTCGCGCCTGCCTCCCTTCTCGCTTGCCCGGGCGCTCGCCCTCGCGGGGACAGGCTCCGGGGCATGCTCGGGGCCGAGAACGGCCGGCGCCCAGGTGGTCAGGTGACAGGTCACGGGAGGCCCCGTGTTCCGCACGCGCCCTCCTCCCTTTACGGCCAATATGTGAGAATGCTCCCGGAAGTATGGGATATTTGCTTCGCTTTGGACTCCGTCACGTGCCGGGACCATGACACTCCGCCTCATGTACCGCATCAGGTCCGCGCGTGGGGCGGATATTGCAGCCGTAATATGTTGGCCCATATATATGTGTATCTGGTATCTTGTGCGTTCCATGCAAACGTGCGTGCGTTGTTTACACACCGGCCCCGTCTCACGCGGCCAGCCGCCGGCCTCCAGCGGCCCACCCCGGGCGCATTCCGCGCGCAGGCGACAACGCTCGGACACCAATCCGCCAACCTGCTTTCGCGTCGGAGGACCGGCGAAAGGGCCCCTGTGCTCGCTGGGCCGCGCGCATCGCCGGCCGCCGGGGGGGGGGGGGGGTGTTGTCGCCTGCCCACCAGCGCCGGCTCCTGGTGGCGCGCCCGGCGGCATCGCCGATGGCCCGGGGCCGCTGGCCGCACGGCCCGGCCCGGCACGAGCTCACGCCCGGCGGCTTGCCTGGCTGGGCCCCTGCCCCGGGGTGATGTTTCAAATGCGGCCCCGGCAACGTCTCCGCCAGCCGGAGGCCCTCCGGCGGGGGCGGGGAATGTGGAGGGCCGGAAAGACCCGGGTGTGCCATGCCCCTTGTGGAGGATCCCCGACGCGGACCCCGGGCACATGGGCCCGCGCGCGTCGGCCTGGACATCCGTCACCCAAAAGGTCCCCCCCCCCCGCTCAGATGGTCACCAGCTCCTTGGGCAGGCCGTTGCAGCGGGGCCGCCCCCGGCAGGGGGCCCCGGCGGCCCGGGGGAAACTACATCCGCGGGGCCAGACCATCGATCCCGGTCCGGCATGCCCCCCCGCGTCTCCTCGGGCTGGTTTCACCATGCTGGAGGCGCCGGGCGCCGGGTCAGGCGGGGATGCGCCGGCGGGCGCGGGACGTCCCCCCCCCCCCAGATACACACACACACGCGCACACACACGCACGCACACCCGCGCGAGCCCGGGGCGCCCGCCCTCTGCCAGGCCGCCGACTGTGCCGGTGGCCCCGCCTGGGGATTGCGGGCCACAGGTCGGCCCGCTGCCCCGAGGCCCGCGGCAGGACACGCCCCCCTCTCCCCCCCCCCGGGCCCGGCGCAGCAGGAACAGCCTGCCCCCTCGCGTGCGCCGGTGTTGGGATCATTTTATTTATCGCGCCACGCCCGGCCACAGGAGAGCCATTGCTGGCACCTTGCATTTCTCGCGCGCGCCCCCCCCCGTCTTCCCCCCTCCCCCTGGCCTGCCCCGCGCCGGCTGTCCCCTCCTGCCATGGGTCTCACCTCCGGAGGGATCCACGCCCCGGTGCCCTGGGTCGGCATGCTGCGTCTGTTTCTCCTGCTGCTGCTGGGGGCCTGCCTCTCGCTGGCGCCCCCGGCCGCGGCCATCCCCATCCGCGGGCTGGATGCCCTGCTGCCGCGCCTGACGGCGGCCAGCGTGGCCGGCATGTCCCGGGCCGAGGCCGACGCCATGGCCCTGGCCCTGCGGGCCGCCGGCGGCGACCAGCGCATGGTCCTGGCCCTGTACTATGGGCTGCAATTCGACTGGGACGCCGGTCGCCGGGTCGATGCCCTGGCCGGGCCGCCGGCCTGCCCGGCCTCCTGCCCGGGCAATTGCGACCAGTATGGCTGCATCGGCTGCCCCCGCGGCATGGGGATGGCCTTCGGCCGCGAGGGCACGCTCTGCACCCAGAACACGGACCTGTGCCCGGAGCCGGCGCTCCCCTGGATGGAGGGCGCCCCGGTGGACCCGGACGCCGAGGGTGCCATCGGCATCTTCTGCCCGGACGGCTGCCGCCTCTATGACCAAATCAACCGCATATGCCTCCAGTGCTTTGAGAGCTACTCGCTGTCTGGCAACGACTGCTTCCAGTGCCCGGAGGCATGCCGCGCATGCGAGGGCGGACCGCGGTGCTCCTCCTGCCATACGGGCTTCTACCTGGATGGGGGCTCCTGCCATGCCTGCTCGGACAACTGCCTGACATGCACGTCCGGCACCAGCTGCTCCGCATGTGCTGCCGACCACGTCCACCACGATGGCGGCTGCGTGCGCTTCTGCCCGGCGGGCTTCTTCAAAGCCACCGACGCATGCGTCCCGTGCTCGGCCAACTGCGAGAACTGCCTGTCCGAAACCATCTGCCTGAGCTGCTTCCCCGGCTACTTCCGCTTCAGCCAGACATGCCTGTCAACCTGCCCCGCCGGGTCCTACGGCTCCGACAGCGGCACCTGCCGGGCCTGCAGCGGCAGCTGCCTGACCTGCACCTCGGACACCAGTTGCACCACCTGCTCCTCCGGCTACCTGCATCACGAGGGTGGCTGCGTGTCGGCCTGCCCGAGCGGCTTCTTCCCGTCCGATGGATCGTGCGCCCCCTGCACGGGCACCTGCGCCCAATGCACCTCGGCCGCCCACTGCACCGCCTGCAGCCCGGGCTACTACCTCCACGGAGGCACCTGCCAAGGGACCTGCCCCGGCCGCACCTTCCCTTTCAATGGCGCGTGCATCGCTTGCTCGGCCAATTGCGCCGCATGCACCTCCGACATCGAGTGCCAGACTTGCGATCCCGGGTACCTCCGCCATGCGGGCGGCTGCGTGTCCCAGTGCCCCGGCGGCTTTTTCCCCTCGGCCACCGCATGCACCGCCTGCCCGGACGAGTGCCAGGCCTGCTCCTCGGCCACCTATTGCCAAGTGTGCAGCCAGGGCTACCACCTTCTCGATGGTGCGTGCGTGACTGCCTGCCCCCCGGGCACCTATGCCTCGGCCGGCGCATGTGCCCCCTGCTCGGAGCACTGCCACTTCTGCTCCTCCGCCACCGACTGCACGGCCTGCGCCGGCGGCTACCTGCACCACAGCGGCGGCTGCGTGGCCTCCTGCCCGGGCGGCTTCTTTGCATCGAACGATGTGTGCTCCCCCTGCTCGGTCTACTGTAAAGACTGCACGTCCAGCACCAACTGCACGGCCTGTGCGTCCACCTACCTGCGCCACAACGGCGGCTGCGTGGCCTCCTGTCCTTCGGGCTTCTTCGCGACAAGCGGCGCATGCTCGCCCTGCTCGGTCAACTGCACGGCTTGTTCCTCCGGCAGCAACTGCACGACCTGTGCAAGCAACTACTTGCGCCACAACGGCGGCTGTGTCTCTTCCTGTCCCCCTGGCTTCTTCGACTCTGGTGGCGCATGCTCGGCCTGCTCGGCCAACTGCACGACCTGCTCTTCCAGTAGCAACTGCACGGCGTGTACGTCCACCTACCTGCGCCACGACGGCGGCTGCGTGGCCTCCTGTCCTTCAGGCTTCTTCGACTCTGGTGGCGCATGCTCGCCCTGCTCGGCCAACTGCACGGCCTGCTCTTCC